CCATGTGGCTCCGTCCCTCATGGCTAGAGCCCCTAGCGCACGCAATAGTGTGCGTAGCCGCCTGGTTATAGTATAAAGTAGGATAGTTTTCCGTCATGATAATGATATATATATTCCCTTCGACTCCTCACAGCCTAACGTTCCTGTCCTTTTCAAAATTTATAGAAGCAACATCATTGTGATGGGTGTTGTTTAGGCTTGATAGACGCTGCAACCAGTTTTTGGCATAAGGGATGAGTAAGTGCCAGCTTCCCCAACATTTGAAAACAACGATTCGCTCATTAGTAGAGCCTCTCAGCAGATTCACCATAATAACCCTGATAAACGAGAGTATCGCCACGTCAACGAGTAGATAAAGCTCGAAGCAGTATACCCCACTCTTTTACAAATGGAAGCGAAAAATAAATTGTGAGTCACATCAGAGAGAAATGATAAAGAAAGATAAAAGTTTGACACTCACCAACATAGTCCCACGGTGAAGGCTGTCGAAACAACCACACAGTTCCATGTCGACCAAATTGAAAGGCCTACAGAAAAAAATGCAATAGACAAGAAAAAATCGCCGAAAGTGATAAAAGTGAATAAAAGAGGTGAGAGCATTTTAAATTTTTCACCTGCTCTATAGCGTTTACTAGACCACGCTCTCCACACAACAAATGCGCCAATTCGCTTTTCGAGTGCTTTTCGCTATAGTAATACTTTACTAAAGAATTGACGGCCTCCCCAAGGATTTGCTGGATCTCCGTTATGCGAGTTCCTGAATCCAACGATAACTTTGTTGAAACGGCAGAACAGAGGAATTGTGTGTGTAGCATTGGAAACCGAAAAAATTACTTCGGTTAGCCGTTGAATCAAGTCCACGGCTCTGCGAAGGACTACGCTCCCGCTGAGGAGTTTGACTGCGTGATGAAACTCGTCCGCGCCTAGCACTTCGGGCTGGGGAATTTGGCACGGTGCTGAACGCCGAATCGGCACCATCATCATCACATATAGGTTCCGCAACCAACAGTCTGAAAAAGTCAGTCTGGGCGACGAAGATCAAAATAACTTCCTGAATTAGCTGCCACTTCTCTTCCGCGTTAATACAAGCAACAAATACAAAAAGGGTATGTTGGCCACCCGCAAGTGAATATGCCGACTTTGTTCTCGTTCCTTCCAAAGGTTATGCAACATTCTACCCAATTTGCGCAGAAAAAATACCCTTTTTTTTAAATATTTCATACGCAACAGCTTCCCCTCAGCAACTAGCCCACGCTTGTACGCATGCCGTTGGAGTATCAACAAAAGAATGATGACCTTAAATAGGGGTAACCGGTTTTCACTCTTCCTCAAACAAAAAAACTTCAAGAAAACTTTCCACTCCGAATTCTGTTAGCGGTGCTGTATTCTGACGGCTGAAGTACACCGGGATCACCTCTGAGCTGCTAAAATCCTGCTAACAATCGATGTCACTATAAAATAGCTCATGGATGGACGACTGGCTGCTTTCATAGCCCACGACCAGTCGCGCAACCGGTCGCTCGATTGATCGCGCGATGTGCTCGGGACCGTTCTCGGCGGCATTCATTACTAACGCGGCCTCCTCGACCGATCCAGCGACCGGTCGCGCGACTGGTCGCTCGCAAAATCGTGGACTATGAAAGATGCCATTGAAGACCATTCCACGTGGGTGACATCGCTCCAAAAGCAGAGAGCAAAGAAGACTTCAGGACAAGCTGCAGAAGTGGCAGAAGGTGCTAGTAGAGGGCGGTCCAACATGAAAAGACCAAGTTACTCAGCTCCGATTAGTGCGCACAACCAGAAAAGGAATTGATATTACGATGTGTACATAACAGATTTCCGATACTTGAGGATTCTAGCCGCTGATAGTAGCGTGGGTCAGGCTGCAAAAACCTGATAAACACGTGCTGTATGGAAGGCCGTCCGTATCCTTTGTGACCAACGGTGCTTCAGGACGCTCAAAGGTAAAGTGTACATAGTATATTAGTTGTGAAACCCATGTTGTTCTTCGTAGGCGAGTGCAGGCCCGCAAAAAAAAACTGTAAATGGCAGTTTCCCTCCGCTGAAACAAGGGTGCTCAGGTGGGCATGTGGTTGGATGCGTCTGGTTCGGATCAGAAACGAAAACGTCAGGGCAGCTTTGCAATCGCCCCAGTCCAACTGAAGACGAGACAGCACTGCCTTCTATGGTTCGGGCATACACTGAGAAGACCACAGAATCACCCGGTAAGGGAGGCAATGGAACCCGACGCTTAAGCGACCACGAAGAGCCCCAAAGAAGACGAGGCAAGCTGTGATCAAGAAAAACCTCGTAGAAACTAAACGGCAGAAAATGTCGCGGATAAAAGGCGGCTGACAAGAACAGCGGACCCAAACGGCGGACGACGACGCGGGATTTAAGTTCAGGAAAAGAAGGATAAGGACAAATTTCGAAAATAGGAGAACTCGATAAGCCTGTGTAAACTGATGCATGACCGATTCAAAACTGTTCTTGTTGCTCATCCACCAAAATTTTTGTCGACTCTGCACTTGCTCCTTCCAGTCTGACCAATTACTCTTGCTTGAACTGTGGAGTCTCGCCGTTTGCCAACGAAGGAACGTTAAGATCGAGGAACATGATCAAGAAGAAACATATTAGCTTCACCTTCCATAACAATTATATCATAGTGGGAAAAAGTAGACTTGGTATCTGTCATATTGCAGTAATGGATGAATACGGTGTTTCCAGTACATCTCCGGATAGAATAACGCTTTGAAAAAGTAGCAGACCCTTCATGATTCACCTGGTGACAACGAGCTATTTATTGCCTGATTGTGTCTTAAAGGCACCGTTCACGATAATTTAGGGGTATCCGGTATTTCACAGATAGTGATAGGTAAGGCCTACCTTAGGACAATGATAAAGCATAAAACGCGAAAAACAGCGAAAAAAAAAAGAAATATAAACGGTCAAAAAAAAGAAGAGAAAAAGGGGTTGGACGGGTTTC